TGAAGGAGGAGGACACCGTCTATATGTTTTGAGGAAGATTTGCTGTTGTTGTTCAGTTGCTCAGTTACGTCTAGCCCTTTGTGACCCCATGGACTGCAGCATGCCAGGCCTTCCTGTCCTTCACCATCTCCCAGAGCTTACTCAGACTCATGTCCATCAAGTTGGTGATGCCATCCAACCATCTCGTCCCTGAACTGCCTGTAGTATTTGCATATGCCAAGGACACCATCCATCCTCATCACACCTCTCATCGTATAGTCAGAGGAAAATCAGTTCAGGTTTATACAGGAAGTTGTAGTTTACAAAATCCCCAACTGTGTGTCTGTGTTTCTGTCTGTCTTTATGTAGGCAACTTCTCCTGCAGGAACATGGTTCACACACACTGAACCTGTTAACCGAGCTCAGAGATGATGAGCACGTGGCTGCCTTTGGGTTGGATCAGAGGAGCTTTTATTGTTGCTCTTAATCAGTGGGAAGTGTAAAAATTTTAAATTAAAAAGTGGCTTTAATTTGTATTCTTCAGGTCACTCTGTATTCTTCAGGTCATCAGGTCTCTTATTATTATTTTAAAACACACTTACGGGCTGACTAATATCTACCTTTCTTCAATCATGTAAATAGATCATTTAGTGAAGTTTGTGTTTTTTCACCCAGGTTTGGGGAAAATACTGCAGAAGTCACGTGTAAGATGAAGGAATTGGCGAGGCTGCCAGCACATGCCTGTAGCCCTTGTCATGTTATTCCTATAGCAGCTATGTGGTGATTTATGCCTGCTGAACCGCAGCTCCTCCCCAGGGTAGCCTCCTAAGTGTAGGTCTGGACACCAGCCTGGGAGGCATCTCAGCTCTCAGAGACCTCATTCACACCTTGCAGAGGTTTCTGCTGCAGCATGTCAGTACTTTTCAGGAGGGAGATCTTTGCCTCCAGGGAGAGACCAGTGGTCAGCAGGCACCATAGCATCTCTGCGCCTCTTTCCTGGCTGCCCAGCACACAGTGGTGACAGCCAGGACTTCTCAGCGTCTGGAGGCTGTGCTGGGACATCTGTGCACTAGCTTCATGGTGGGGCCCTAGGGGAGGCGGCTGTGAATCTGAAAACATGTGAACCGTGGTGACATCCACGGGCATCGCGGTTCACACGGGCACTTGGTCTGAATGTTGTACCTGGAGAAGAGCGGGCCCATTGGATACTGAGTGGGGGAAATGAAGTTGAGCCAGAGGAGTCTAACTCAGCTAATTAAAAAATCCGTTAGGTTGTCATGTGGTTTATTTTTTATCTTTGTTAACTTTTTAAGCAAGCACATAGCCTAGCTGGATGTCAGGCAGTGTGCGAACTTTTCCTTGAGTCCTCATCGTTTGATGTAATGTGTCCTGACCTGATCTAATGTCTATGAGCTGGACACTGAGGCTAACGGAGGCTGTGGGATGAACCCCCGGGTCCTCCTGATATGGAGCTGACATCCTGCCTGCCCCACCTTCCCTGTCTGTGCCTATGTTTGCCCTGCCCTTTTGCCTGGAACATGCTCTTTTTCTGCCTGAAGCTCAGCTTCCTTTTAAGTCCCAGCATAAGTGCCCGCAGCACGACATTGGCCACGTCATAGACCCCAGTTGAGGTGGGTTTCCCCCTTTTCTCCCCAGGATAACTTCCCGGCCCTTGGTCAGGTGTTCCCTTCTTCCCCTGGGCTCCTGTGCCCTCGCGGCACCTCTGTGTGCACATCCGTGTCACCTGCTGGCATGCCAGACATCTGTGGTCCTCAGCTGCATGGATGTCCTTTCTCTCCCATCCCCACGGGCTGCCCCAGTGTCTGCTGCCTGTCGCACCCCGGGGTCTTGAGGAGAATCCAGTGGAGAACCCATGGTGAGCAGGACTGGCCATCCCAAGTGTGTGCTGCTTAGAACATGACACGACAGGGTCAGTTGACTGACGTCAGGCTGCATAGATGTCATTCCTGTCGGTTTTGTTTTTTTTTAATCACACAGTTTTCTGGGGAGGATAGACTACTCCATACAAACTACAAGATTGCTCAGAAAAAGGAAGACGTTGGCTTGATGCTAAGAGGTTTGAAGGCAGGGACTGTGGTTGCTCTCAAGAGCCCGCTCTTGCAGCCTGGTCACTTAAGGCCCTGTGGGGCATGGAGTGAGCCAGGGGCCAAGAAGGGTCCCGTGCAAGCTGCCCTCCTTATGTCGCCCCTCCTGACTCTGGGATTCCTAAGACTTTAACCAGAGTTTCTTTTTCTCTTTCGCTGTTTGTGTGAATTCTTTCCAATGTTTCGTCCTTGCTTCCCGCAGCAATTTTAATTCTTCTCCTTTGCTGTAATTGCTGGGTATTAAAAGCCTGTGTGACTGTGTTATGAAACAGAATTGTATTGTATGAGTATTCTTATCCTGGGGTTTTCCTGTTCTGTGATGCTGTGAGAAATCTCTTTTTTACCTCTCTGTCAAGTCTCTGAAGGGATTTTTGCAGCTAATTTGGGATAATAAAGGCATTCTTACTGTGATGCTGCTCTTCTCTTAGTATTTCAGTCACTTCTATTTCAATTCACCCCAGACTGAATGAAGTTTCTTGCAGAAGGGTTTTTAAAGTGTTAATGTGTTTGTGTGCATCTTCCCAGGCCTGCCCCCACACACCCATCTTCCCAGCGACCTTCTCAGCCTTGACAGTTGCACCAAACAAGCTCCTTGGGTGCTCGAGGCTTGTTCATTGTTGTAAAAAGTGAAAGAGGTGGAGAAATTAGAGGCCACTACATTGTCATGGAGCATAGGAAACTGTTTGGCTTGAAGGTCTTAGTTTTGACTGAGAGTCATAGGCAGTGGGAACCCACAAGGGGGTCACTGCTTTCCTTTGGTGATGCTTTGTTTGGCCATTTGAAGTGACTGTCCATTAAATGCACTCAAAACGCCTGCTGACCTCCTGGATGCTGGCGGCTTCCTGTCTGTGACCTTTACAAGGGAGACCCCTGGACTGGCTGTGGCGGATCACCCCCGTCGGTCGCATGTCTCCCCCGCATCTGCTCTGCCGCTTCCCCTGTCCCCAGGCATACCCCTGCCCCAGGGACATCCTGCCATCTCGGGCACTTTCCTTTTAAAGAAAACCATTTTTCTTCTTGTGTGATGGTTGGGTCTCTATCAACTTGACTAGACTGTGGTGCCCAGTTGGTTGGTTGGGCAAAGAAGTTGAAAACGAATAAATGCATGTACATGTATAACTGAGTCACTCTGCTGACTGGAAGTTTCAGTCACTGAAACTAGCACAACATTGCTAATCAGCTATATTCTAATATAAAATAAAAAATTAAAGAAACAAACCTAGTTCAGATAGTCTGCAGATGTGGCTGATGTCTTTGGCTTTAATTGACTTTAAGTGAAGATTATGCTTGACGATGTGGGCAGCCTCATCTGTCAGTTGAAGGCCTGAAGATCAAATGCTGAGGTTTCCTGGAGAAGAAGGGCCATGGCCCCTGGACCGGAGCATCACCCTCATGGGAGCTGCGGGCTGCCCTGCAGACTCCAGGCTTGTCCCGTGAACGCATGACTGCACAAGCCAGTTCTTGAAACCACCCTCTCCCTTGTCTCTGAGTATTGTATCACGTGTATCTGTGTCTGTATCTGTATTCCTATTTGTTCTGCTTCTCTGGGGCCCCCGATACACCTTGTTTCAGACGTCTAGACTCACAGCCTCACCAGCTTTGACAGGAGCAGTAACCTTCACAGTATTGGTTACATTAATACTTGTTACTGAAAAGTAACCTTTGAAGCTGAGTCAGCTGTGTATTCACTCCCCCTGCTGACCACAGAGCTTCCCCCCCACCAGTCCCCGGGCTGTCCCCTGCACCCCGGCCACACTCTGTCACTTCTGCCCAGCGGTTGTTCTGGGGGCTGCCCGCATGCACAGCACCCTCTTCCTGTTTACTGTTCACATTTCCTTGGCCCCATTACAGAGGCCAGAAAATAGGTGACCTTAAAGTCAGGGGAGTGGGGGCGGTGAGAAAGGGGGACTGGCCATTTCCTTGTTGCTTCTACTTTTCGCCCGAGGGTTGTTTATGCAGTAGATGGATTTTCAGAGTGAAAGTTTGTATTATGAAAACATGGGAACATGTTCTCCAGATGTCCTTCTTTTTACATGAATATGTTCTAAGAAAATAGGAAGCTTGCAGAGTATGTCGGATAGAACATACATCAGGTATAGTTCCCTAGACGGGAAGTCTTGAGGGGACACGTCCTTCCCAATGAAGGCTGACTGGGGGAGGGGCTTGAGCACCCACACAAAAAGGGTCAGAAGGGACCAGATGAGCAGGACCGTGAGCAGGCCATCGGGGCTCTGAGGTGATGTATTCAGTGGTCACACGGAAATGCTCAGATCAGAAGGGCTTTCCTGGATCAGCCTGACCACCCTCCTGGAGACAGGAGGATAGAGCAGGGCTCTTGGACTCAGCTCAGCCCTCCACCCAGAGGGATTAAAGAGGCTCCTCAAGGCTTCCACTGAACAGCAAAGGGTATTTGGGGTAAAAAGCTGTACTTTGGGGCTTCCCAAGTGGCTCAGTGGTAAAGAACCTCCCTGCTATTGCAGGAGATGTAAGGAGAGGTAAGAGACACAGCTTTGATCTTTGGGTTGGGAAGATCCCCTGGAGGAGGGAAGAGCAACCCACTCCGGTATCCTTGCCTGGGGAATCCCCATAGAGAGGTACCTGGAGGGCACAGTCTGTGAGGTCGCACAGAGTTGCACAGGACTGAAGTGATTTAGCACACATGCAGCTATACTTTAAACATAAAGTTAGTGAAAAATCGGGTTTTATCTCAAGGAACTTTGTTTTCAGCTTCTCTGCATAACCTGGTCTACAAAGTTGGAGAGGCTCTTCATCCCGCCCAAGAGTTCTCGGCTTTTCTCTTATATGTCACTGTCATGTCACCTTCTTGGCCTGCTGGGTATTCTGAGAGCAATGCCATTTTTTTTCCTTTCAAGTTTTGTTCATTTGCCCACATCTCCCTGCAATGGTATGACTTACAGAGTCTCGCTGAATTTCTGTCTGGAGAGCAGGTGCTGAGGTTTAGGACTTAGTTTACTTCTCATCGGGGCTCTTCCCGTCTCAGTTGAGATGAGTGAGTGGCAGCTTGGCTCAGACCCTTGAGTGAGTGGTAGGAGTTTTGGGGTCAGAAAGCCTTGTCTTTCCCTAGTCCCATCCTTTCCCAGCGGTACACCCTTAGGCCAACTGGTTCCCTGCTTCTCAGTCTTCTTATCTGTAAAGTAGAACAGACATCTGCCATTAAGATTCAGTAGGAAGACAGCTGTAAAAGAGGAGGTGCTTAATTATTGGACACTGTTATTATTCTTTTCAAAGGCCATTGATTTGTTTTCCAGGCAAGAAACACAAATCCGCGTCGTATCTGGTCTAAAGAGTTCTCACCTCTCCCTCCCCTTTACCACCTTCTCCCTTTGCTTTCCCAAGAACAAGTGCAGTAGAGAGCCAGATCCGCTTAGCCTTGTTATATTATGCAGTCTGAGGAGAAAACATCTTTTGGAACTTTAAATAAAATTAAAGTTAAGGGTCTTTCCCATTTGTGAGTGTCACCATGGAGACACAAATGTGTGGTCGCCATGGCGACCTTTAATCAACACTCTCCATCTGAAATCCTTACATATGAAATCAGGTATGGTTGCCACTATGAGAGCACAGGTTATAAATAAGTGAACTCTAGTGATGACAATGCTTCCCCGGGTTGGTTTCATGGCACAGTTCTAAAAGTGTCATTAATGGTAAGTTGACACCCGGTAGATGCTTGGAGCTTCTGAGTTGGCAGGACATTCTTAGATGGGGTTGCTCCTTGTTTCCTCTTTGGTCTCCTGCCTCATTTGAGGCAGCCTTTCTGTGTCTTTGCTTTTTATGGTCACCTTCGGTGCTTCCTGCGGCTTCCCTGAAGGACGCTCTAGGAGTTCTGGTGCGTTCATAAAAGAAATAAATCATGATTTTATAACAACTTCATATACAGCTAAGAGTAGTAATTTTGTTAGATAATTGCTTTTGAAAAGAGACGAGCATTCTTTGTAATATGCTAAGATGCATCTCTTAACCTACCACACATTATGTATCTAAAATGAATCTGTATTTAGAAATGAATAACTCCTAAGTGTGTGACTGGCCATTAGTTGATCCAAATGGTGCAAAAGTATCCACAGTGTGCATTAAAGTAGAGGCAGCCAAGTTCACCCACTATTAGAGCCTGTGGTGCAGGGCAGTCTCTCAGGGTAGGGGTGGCCTCCTTCAGACTTAGGGAGACTTGGTCGTGCTGCTGGAGACGGGCAAGGGCAGGCCAGTGAGTGACAGCCGGGAGGAGACGGGGCTGTGGAGGAGAGGAGGAGGGAAGGCGGGGATGCAGGCTGGACAGCTCTGAGGAGCACACTTTCTTGTCTTCAGATCGTCCCTGGTTTCACAATAATGCCCCCAATTTGAATTAGATAGGAGCCTCAGAACACTCTTAAGTGACGACAGTTTGTAATTAGGTTTAAAGTTTCGAAACCGAACAGGCATCTCTTCAAGTACATCTTTTTGAGCGCTGTCTGGCAGTGCTCAAAAGATGCTGCATTTGAGTGAGAAAGTGGACTCTATGTTACTGGTTTTGCAAGCAAAATGACTCCCATCCCAGGGTCCCCCAGGAGGATGGACGTAAACTCTTTAGGCACTCTGGAGGGAATGGCAGACTTGCCCTCATGGTACACTAAGCACACTCTGGGACTCTTCTGCTGGTCCAGCAAAGAAGTTGGACAGAATGCCTTCTGCAGATCCAAAGACTTGAAGGTCTGGAGCCAAACTTGGTCCTTAGGGTCTGGGGGTTGTTTCCCTGGGCAAGATGTTGACCTCTGTTTCCAAGAAAAAACTCTTTGAAAAACTCTGTGGACATTGAAATAGCTCTACAAAATAACATTTTTGGTGTTTTAAAGTGTAAACTAACGAGAAACACATGATTTTAGTTTCCCATAAATCACAGAGGGTTTTGCTGAAGAGAAAAATGCACGTCAAAACACATCTCGGGTAAACAGTTTAAGGCAATAATCTGGCTGCACAAGTAGGTCAAGGATTGGGGAAGGTGACATGCAAATTTGCATCCAGGTGGAGCGTGGAGGGCATGTCAGCACCAGCTCCCAGCTGCCGGGAGACTGGACATGAGCAGTGCTGGTCTGGGTGAGAGGGTGGCTCTTGGCCTCTTTGTCCTTCCTTCGGAGGCTGAGCTGTCGGTGTGAGCCTGTATTTGGAGTTCTCATAGAGAAAATAAGATCAAGTTATTAAGTATCCCAATTATAAATGTTGTCGCGAAAATGAATTTCTGCTGCTCTGCACTTATCCTGGCTTCTGCTCATTAACCCAGCACTCCCTGTCGTCACCTACACTGGTGGTTGATAAGAGGGACTGACAACCAGCATGTGGGAGCTGGGTTTCTGAACTACATCAGGATACAGGAAAACACTGCTGGGGTTTACAAATATCCTATGTTTGATATTCTTGGCACTGTCATTTGTCTTAGTTGTGAAGCAAGTTTCTTTTCCTAAGGAAGGTCCTTGATGAAATGATCACAGCATGTGAATTAATAGAATCCAAATGAATTTATAAATATTTAAAGTGAGTATAAAAGCATTCACTTGACTTGCATTAGGTGGCGAGGTTTGTTGTGAGTTTTTCAGAACCTTCTTGACTCCTAGGTGGGAGAAGCTGGGGGAAGGGAGTGATGGGTGTGAGGTGTCTTCTGTGCATCATGCTTTAAATGCTCACAGAAGTCCCTGAAGAAGGCTGATTACCTTGAGTGGGTGCGGAAACTGAGGCTGGAGACATTTGGGCCATTTAACCAGGATCTCGACAGAGACGATCGTTGCTCACTTGGCCTTGCGCAATATCGCCCAGGACTGCAAAGTGCTCTGCTGGATCAGTCTGTAGTTTATCAGATTTGCAGGATTCACTGGCTGTCTTCTCCAAGGCTGACAGCTTGGGTGGGAATCTAAGATGTGTAAATTAGAAGGCCAAAGACCAATTCTCTTCTTAATTTTTTTTCTTTTTTTTTTCAGAGAAACCCAGAGACAAAAAAAAATTCTTTCATCATGTGAGCCCAGGAAGGCTGGCTTCTGAGCTACACAGCACCTGGTAGGGTGGGGGTGCTGCTTGTTACAAAATAAGTAACATCATAGCAACAACAGAATAAATAATAATACAATAAGAAACATCATAACATAATTATGGAATAAGTAACAGTGAAAAGGTGAATAACCTTTCTGTACACTTTGACACTTGGGGAGAAGTATCTGTGAGGAAGATCTATTACTATGTAGCCTGGCATTGCTAGGGTGCAGAGGGTATCCTGAGTGGACGTCCAGTCCTCCGGGGAAGCGGGTCCAGTTGTCCTTCTGGTGCCCCGGTGGTGAGCATGGTGCTGTGTCCTTGGAGTCTGGCAGGGGTGACGGTGCAGTCTGTGCTCAGCCATGGAAATTTCTCCAAGTGCTGTTTCTAAGAGTCACCGTGAATTCATCCATTTGGTATGTGGCTGTTTGGGCAACAAGTAATGTCTTTCCCTCACATGATGGAAGTTGGAGCATTAGTTGGTTAATATTAACGACCCTCTCTGGCCGAAGTGGGATGCGGTGGGCGGGGTCTGGAAACTTGTGGAATTCACAGTCCCCGTGCACACTGAGAATCACAGAGAGCTGGTCCTTTCTCTCCTGACTGTGGCCGCGGAGAAAGGAGAGGGGAACGTTCTGGCCAACAGCAGCTGCTCTCATGGTCTGTGACCCCATATCCTGCACCGTATGCCTAAAAGGATTCTTTTTAACCCTGAAATATTTGAGTTTCAATATATTTTTAGATGCACAGGTTAGGTAGGTTCTTAAGGCTGAATTTGTCAGTTTTTGTTTCAGAGTGAATGATGCCATTGAATTGTATCAGAAAACAAGAGGTTTGGAAGGAAGTTTTTTACACTATTCATATTGTTTTTCAAAGCAGAGATTCAACCTGGGCTTCTATACTGGTTCCAGTAAGCTGTGGCAGAAGAAAGCAAGGACAGTGGCTTCCGGATAGTGACATGTCTTTAGTTCCTCTGGCAGCACTGCTCTTGGGACCAGGTTTTGACCGTATTTTAGAGGATTGAGTGCCCTGAAGGGGAGCACAGTTGTGGGGAGGACTTCCCCTGACTTTGCATTCTGTTTTTTCAAGATATCTACTTAGGGAGTCCAGTCATAATGCATACATGTCATCACTCCTGTACACTTAATTATTCTCCCAAAAATGGGCTTTGTGTTACTACCTCCTTCCCCCCAAAGCAAGGTTTTAACACGTTGGAATCTGGGAGACCTTTCCATGCCTCTCATTTGAAATGACTACTCTGCCTGCTTCCATGGTCAATTCCAACTGCTTGTTTTCAGAGGGGCATCCTGTCTGGAGTGTGTAAACCATCTCCTTCAGCAGTGATCAGGTGAACATCTGTGATGTGCTGGGCAGGTGCCTGGCACAGGTGACCCTGGGGCTCATAGGCTGGACAGAGCAGAGGGTGGACTATGGGGGTGTAGACAGTGAACATGAGGTGAAAATTGTGATGATTGTGGGGACACAGAGGGCCAGAGCCTCCAGAACATGGCCATGACTAGCCAGAGGAGGGCTTTCTGAGTTACGGATGAGTGTCGAGACCAAAGCTTCTGTCTGGTGAGGGGCAGGTTGGAGGCTTGGGGGCTGGAGAGGTGGGATGTGGCTGGGTGCATGCTGGGTGTGTCCTGCAGGGGGTGGGGGGTGCTGTGTCACTGGTACCCTCCTGTTGGGGGCCAGCCTCCAAAAGCAGCAGTGTCCAGTAAGTGCCTGGGGACAAGCAAGCAACAGCCAGGAGGTTTCATCAGTAGTTTATGGAACAGTTCGTTTCCAAAGATAGTTGCAGTTCGGGCCCCAGAAAATTCGATCTGAATTCTGTGTAATGATTAAAATCCTCACAAGGGCGGCATCTTGCATCAGACAATTCCTGGTTTTGAGAACCATTGAATGTATAGGCCTGGTGTCTCAAGGTTTGAAAAGAGAACCTCAAAAGCCCTTTTGGCCCCCTCTCCACTCAATGGTAATATCATTTAGCACCTCTGGGGAGGTGGCACTCAGGGGTCATGGTCACACCTAAAGTCAGATAGAAAGTCATGGGGCAGTTTCTGACTTTCTGGGTTAGCAAGTTTCTGGACAGAATACCACAGATGTGAAGCTCCTTCTGAGCCCATTGTATCAGAGGAGGGCACGTCTGATTTACCCCATCAGAATGTGTCTCTGGTGGGGGTGAACGTGCGCTTGGTTAAGAGTGTCTGCTTAGCCCTTTCACTGGACACTTGCCATTTCCGCTTTCTACACTCTTTTCTGTGGAATTAGGTTACTAAGTCCAGCTCATGTTCAAGAAGAGGGGAGTTAGGTTGCAACCTTTTCTCTTTATTACCTTTCTTATCCCAAGTCCTCCCCCTACTCCAGTATCTTATAAAGTGGCAGGAGAGAAAGCCAACATCAGAGAGAGCCTCATGGGATAGGTGACTCATTTTATCTGTTATTTATCATCTATCTATCATCTTTATCTATTATCAGTCTGTATCTATCATCTGTCCACCTAGATCTATTATTTGTCATTTATCTATTATTTATTATTAATCTATATCTATCATCAGTATCCATCTCTTATCTATTATTGATCTTTATCATCTATATATACCTATTACCTATCATTTATTTTTTATTATAGATCTATATCTGTCAATCTATCTATTGTCTATTATCTGTCTATGAAATAAGAATAAAAGAACAGTTTGGGGCAGCTAGTAAGAGTCCTAGGAACATTGTCTTCTGAAAAGAAGGTCACTGAGGTTGAGGAGTCCAAGTGTCTCAGCCTAACCAGGAAGAACCAGTCTTCCTTAAAGAACTTCTCTTTAAATTTAACCCTTTTATGAATCCCAGCAGGAAACATGTGGAGACTCATAAAGAACAGGTTTCCCCAGTCACCCACATGTAGTTTAGATGCACATTCTGCCTGGGACATTGGCTTTTTAATATATTTGACAAGTTGTGTTAATCAAATAAGTATTTCTTATTAAGAATTTATTTTCTCAATTGAATTTGATTATAAAATACTTACAGAGAAGTACAGTCACAAATACAACATTTTGCCCCATCTTTTAAAAAAAAATTATCTGTTTTTAATTTAAGGCTAATTGCTTTACAATATTGTGTTGGTTTCTGCTACACATCAACGTGAATCAACCACAGTTATACATATGCCCTCTCCATCTTTTGACCTAATTTTAAAAAGAAAATAAAATTAGAGGCAGAGTTGGATGCCCTCCATGGTGCTGGCCCTGCCTTTGGCTGTAATTTCTCACCTTCCTCCGCAGGTGATCATTATCCTGAGGCAGGCATGTACTGTTTACATCTGTGCTTTAGCACCTTCACTGCAAAGCAAATTCCTCTTTTCATCTCTACCGTGTAAGTATGTATCAAATTAAAATAATATATGGTATTTTGGAGGGTATTTAAAAATCATACAAATAATATCCTACTGTGCAGCTTATGTTTTGCACCATTTTGCCCCTCATAATTGTGTGTCTGAGACCTAATCCTGTGGATACATGTAGAGCTAGTTAATTCATTTTAAATGCTCTTCATTCTGCCACTGTATGAATGAGTCAGAATTTATTTATCCATTCCCAATTGATTTTCCACTCTATCAAGGTATACTTAAATTGTTTCCGGTGTTTTCCCTGGTAAAATGATGCAAAGAACTTTGCTGTCTGCGTCCCCTTGTGCAACATGCTTGTCACTCCTCTGGGGTGTGTCCTGGCCTGGGGTTGGTGCCCGCTCTGACTTTCTGAGGTTTTGCCGGCTGCTGTTCAGTGTGGCTGCACCCGTGGAAACCCCTGGCCAGCCCCCCACGATGGGGAGTGGGTCTTCCTGCTCCACACTCCAGGCCTCACGAGGTGTTTCCAGACTTCAGATGTTTGCTTATCTTATGAATGTGAAGTTGCGTTTTGCTTCATTGTTCGTTTTCCTGATTACTAGTGATATGATATATATTACAGATATTTTTCTGACAATTTAGATTCCTTCTTCTGGGCATTGTCTGTTGATATCTTTGCCTGTTTTTATTTTCTCTCTTGATTTCTTATTTGCTCATGGGGGATATTTATATATTATGCATCCTAAGCCTTTCTTGGCAACTTGTATTGTAAGTTATCTTTACTCTCTGTGATTTACTAGAGGACAAATCAAGCAGTTTGTGGAAAAAAGACCTTTAGGTTCATCAGGAGACTTGAGATTTTGTTCTGGTTTGGCTGCCAGCTTGCTATTTGACCTTGGAGGGTCACTTAATTTTCCTGGACCTCATCTTCCTTCTCTCTGAAGTGATATCTTTGATTCCAAAACCTCAAATCTCTTCTAGACACACAGTCATATCAGAGTTAAGCAAAATTAAATGGAGAGAAAGTTCTGTCCAAATCAAGGGAAATATCTGCCTGCTGGAATATTTGAGAACAGACTCAAGTTTTGCTGCTTAAAGAGCTAGACAAATGGGATTATGTGGATGAAGTTGGCTAGCATCGGGATAATCCTTCAGTGTTCAAGAATACTTCCACATATGTGATTTTGTTCATGAACCTGACTTGTGGGATCTTGTTTTCATCATCAAATGTGTCATCACATCTCAGGTTCCAGGCTGGGAAGCATGTCTGTCTGCTCTGCTGTGGGATAGCAGTGTCTTGGATCAGGCCACACTTGGAGGACTCTGAGTACCCATGTGCCGAGTGACTGAGAGGCGAGTGACCAGCTCAGCAGTGTTAGTCAAGAGCTCCCGGCTCATCTTTCTGGGGAGGTTCCTAAGAATATCCCACATTTCCCCTCTTGGGTGTCTTAGCATTCTCCGCAGTTTTGTGTCTTCTACAATAAAAGGATAACATTGGTTTTCTTAAAATGACTTTGTGTCTGTAGAGTCTGAATTAATGCATTTTATTTTGACTCAAAGTGGGGATTGTTTTAATATGTTGATTCTTTCATACTTTGTCAACAGCATGACTGTGATCATAATGATTAACAAGATCACTAACTTTTCTTCCCTTTGGCCCTAAAAAGCAGCTGGAGATATACCCTCTCTTTGCTGAGAGTATCGGTCTTGTAGCATGGCTATGACAGTGAGCTTCGTGGTAGGAGCATGAGTGTGAGTTTAATCTCGTCTCCTCTCAGCCGCTTTGGTGTCAGACCTGGACCAGAAGCCACCTGGCACCGCCGTCATGGTTTGCGCAGATGCTGTTGGCTCCTCCAGCACCAGGGCTTGCTAGACATGTTCCATGTCCCTGTCCCTGTGGTGGAGCCTGGGGCTGTCGGTTGGCTGAAACGTCCTGCTGCTCCTTACGAGGTGCTCAGGGCAGGGCCAGGGTTAGTGGGGGAGTGAGCACCCCTCACTCATGCAGAACCCCTGACCTCTCTGCCTCCCCCTGAGGAGCCCTGGGGCAGGTGCCCTGGGATCACAAGACATGCCTACCTTGCTGGCTGAGAGAACTCAGTTTTCCCCAGAAAGGAGAGAAAGGTACTTTTCTTTCCCCATTTCTAGACTGTCTTTCCTTTGGGTGGTTTGCACAAGAAGACTCTGCTGGTCATGCTGAGGAGACGCCTTACAGGATCAGGAGCAGGTCCTTGGCTGCTTCCCAAACAGCTCTGACTGGGTTAGCGGGTCAAGGATGAGCCTTGAGGAGCGATTTAGAAAGTACCACACCTGGAGGAACTGTCTGAATGTGAGGGGCACAGCCCTCCTGCCCTCAGGGTTCTGTCGCTTCTGTGGAAACTGGGGTTTTCCAGTTTTGTGGACCTCATGGACCTGGTACTTCACATTTAGCCCCTTTCTAGACATTTGGGGGAAAATGAAGCATTGTCTTCAATTTCGGAGAATTCAGCACTTTCTGCCAAAGATGGTTGAAAAAACTTAGTAGTAATGCCAGGCCTTGCCTTTTACACTGTTCATAGGATTCTCGAGGCAAGAATGCTGAAGTGGTTTGCCGTTTCCTCCTCCAGTAGAACATGTTTTGTCAGAATTCTCCATGATGACCTGTCTGTCTTGGGTGGCCCTGCATGCCATGGCTCATAGCTTCATTGAATTACATAATCCCCTTGACTCTGACAAGACTGTGATCCATGAGGGGGAGAAGTTTCAATCACCTCAGATATGCAGATGATACCACTCTAATGGCAGGAAGTGAAGAGGAACTAAAGAGTGTCTTGATGAGGGTGAAAGAGGAGGGTGAAAAAGTTGGCTTAAAACTCAGCATTCAAAAAACTAAGATCATGGCATCCAGTCCCATTACTTCATGGCAAATAGATGGGGAAAAAATGGAAAAAGTGGAAGATTTTCTTTCCTTGGGCTCCAGAATCACTGTGGATGGTGACTGCAACCATGAAATTAAAAGATACTTGCCCCTTGGAAGAAAACCTGTGACAACCTAGACTGTGTATTAAAAAGCAGAAACATCACTTTGTTGACAGAGGTCCATATAGTGAAAGCTGTGGTTTTTCCAGTAGTCATGTATGGATGTGAGAGTTGGACAATAAAGAACGCTGAATGCCAAAGAATTGATTGTAGTGCTGGAGAAGACTCTTGAGAGGCTGTTGGACTGCAAGGAGATCAAACCAGTCCATCCTAAAGGAAATCAACCCTGAATATTCATTGGAAGGACTGATTCTGAAACTCAAACTCTAGTACTTTGGCCACCTAATGTGAAGAGCCAGCTCTTTAGAAAAGACCCTGATGCTGGGAAAGATTGAGGGCAGGAGCCGAAGGGGACAACAGAGAAAGAGCTGGCTGGATGGCATCACTGACTCAATGAACATGAGTTTGAGCAAGCTCTGGGAGATTCATGAAGAACAGGAAGGCCTGGTGTGCTGCAGTCCTTAGGGTCACAAAGAGTCACACATGACTTAGCGACTAAACAACAACCACCAGGCCCTAGATAAGAACTTCTTATTGATTTTTCAGACAGTTTTTCAGAAAGAGCAACCCGGAGGAGGGGAGAGGGTGTCCCAGGTGGGAGAAAGGTATGAGCAGGTGTGGAGGATGGCGTGGATGTGGTGGTGTGGATGCGGGCATTGCCCAGGGATGTGGGGGGAGAGGGAGAGGAGAAACAGGGGAGAGGGGCTGGGAGAGAGGGTGGAGGCCAGCTTCTCTAGAGAAGCCCTGGCCCCAGGGGCCAGCACACATGGAGTCCCCTTGGGCCTGGCTCCCCACTTTCTTGCTCTGTGACTGGATGGTGGACTGTCCCATTTGGGCCTGGCTCCCTTCTCTGTGAGGCGGTGGCAAGCACTGTACCCCCGGGTGGTCCAAGGATGAGAGGAGGGGCTGTGCTAGTGCCCTCAGGAGGCTCCTGACCCAGGATGCGGGGCCCTGTGTGTGTGAGGTGCCATCCTGGGAAGGAGGTGGAGCTGGGCAGGGTGCAGACTGCAGACCCCAGGAGAACTGGGCTGTACCTCGGGCCTGAGAAGCGTTTCTGTCTGGAATTCTGCTTTAAAAGGGCTCCTCCACCTTCCTCCTGTTAGCTGATTTTAAAGGCGGTCTCTCCTTTTGTGAACAATCAGCTCCCTCTGGGCCACCTCAGCCTTTGTTTCTGGGGGGTCGCCGCATTCCCGCCTCCCCACCCCGCATCCCTGCACTGTCCTGTCTGTGTCGCCTGTGGGGACCCAGGAATGCAGCGGGCGCCTGCACTCGAGGCACTCACCAGATGGCCGTAGCAGCACTTGGCTTCTCCTCGTCCGTTTTTAGATCCTTCTGTCTCAATGGAATGAGAAAGAGTAAAAATAGCCCAAGCAGGCGCTTCAGAGGTATCTTAAATTATTCTCCGCTCATCTTTCTTCCTATGGTGTGAGTATCTTTAGCTTCTGTAGAGGGACAGAGAAAAGAAAAGAAAAGAAAATTCCTGGCAGCCGCGAGTGCTATTTCTACCCAGGGGTACGTTGTATTTCTGCAGAAATAGCTTGGGGGCTGGGAGCCTGTGCTAGTGGAGAGCCAGCTCTTCCGCCTCTCAGTGCATCAGCAGAGGGGGTGCGCCTCCCCTGCGGCAGCCGCATCCCACCCCTGAACTCCCCTACCCCCACCATCGGCTCCTGGAGAAATGGCCCAAGGGATGGGGCTCAGGCCTGTGACAGCCAGGAGCCAGAGGGGCACACCCATGGTGACAGGGCCTTGAGAGGGGACACCTTCTGTGTGGCCGTGCTGGTCTGCTGCGTGGGAGTGTCCCCATCCAGCAGCACCTACCTTTGGCCATGTGAGCCTGGCAGGAGTTTGAGGTTGTCTCCCTGTTTTCTCATGAAAATGCTTCCTCCTGTTGTTCAGTGTTGGTGCTCTGGGACAACAGAACCTAGAATATCAACTCAGCAGAGTGAGCGAATTCCTTTCTGATGAATGTGTGTGAATCCTTCTGTAGGGTGGAGGACGACCGGGTGTGGGGTGGGTCTGTAGTCACCCACAGCTGACAGGGGCAGGCCTGGCCTCTGACCCAGGAGTGGGGGCATCCAGTCTGCATTCTGGAGCCCAGGTAAGGCCCCCCCACCCCCCACCGCCACCGTCCGGGCTCCTTGGCGTGCATGCCTGTCCATCAGGACAGCGGCCTGTGTTCATTGTCTGGGGGTTTACCTCTCTGCTCCTTCGCTCCTAGGTCACTCCCAGTTGGGGTGGAGCTGGGGGAGACCATGGCTGGGGACTGCCCCCAGCTTCTATGGTTTTACACACATAGCAGGAGCCACTCAATGCCACTTGGCTTCACTATTCCTTATTCCGGATGAAAGGTTCTATAAAGGATGGAAGAGGAACGGGCAGTCTACAGTTTAAAGCAGGACAGAGACGGTTCTGAAGGGGAATATGTCCCGGCGGAGGTCAAGAAAGTGTTCAGGAGCCGTGGGGCATGGTGGGCTTCCTGGAGGAGGGTCTCCTTAGGGGGCAGGGCCGGCTGTGCAGGAAGGGGAGTGGGGGCCCTGGGAGGAGTGAGTCCAGGGAAGGGAGTGAAAGGAAGCCCGTGGGGATAGGAGGGACTGGCTGCACTCACGGGTGGGCTGGCATCCTGTTGTCACTGTGCGGGAGAGTCTTGGCTGTGATCTAAGTCGGTACCCAGTCCAGACCCTTGACACCCGCCCTACTGAGGCCACCTAGGCCTCCATCCCCTCCTGACCCAGGGTCAGGGGGAGACGGGCCTTCTCAGGCCCAGCTCTGCTGTAGTGCTTCCAGATTCCAGAGGACAGTGGTCCACTTGGGGGGAGTCTGTCCAGCTGTCTAGGTCAGCAGCCCAGAGTCTGCACTGCAGGGGCTGGACAGGAGGGAGGTTGGGCTGGTGGGTGCTCAGAGATGGTGGATGTAGGGGTGGCGGGAAGAGGGGTGACCAGGTGGGACTGCAGGCCCGGCTGCCTGGGGAGGTGGTGGTGCTGACAGAGAGCAGCCGGTCAGAGAAGGAGCCAGTTTTGTTAAAGGATGAACCTTGCCTCAGACACGCTGCCTCGGGCCCAGGTTGTCACAGGGTAGTCTGGGAGGACAGTCAGTCTCCCAGGGAAGCCCAGGGTGTCTGTGTGCAAGGCATGTTGGGGCTCAGTGGGGCGAGAGCAGAGGCGGGGGGCAGGGTGGAGGTGTGGGGAGAAGAGGGACCCTCGATGGAGTCAGGTCCTGCCTCCAAGCGTCTTGGGGTTCAGAGAAGATGAGACCCCCAAATGGTCCCAGATGGTTTTTTTTCTTTCAGATGTGGGGTCACTGAAATTCAGGGAGACCCAAGAGAGGAGAGGGAGAGGAAACCAGTACGTGAGCCGTGGGCAAAGGCGGGTGTTGGAACCTTCAGGAGAATGCTTTGTCCTCTTGGTACTGTCTCCTGACATCTCGGGGTCCCGGGGCCCCTGGTGGTGATGAAGGCCTCCACTCAGGTATTCCTCACCAAAAGCAGACTTGATGAGGTTTAGAGGTAGCCTCAACTTTGCCCCAGATGGACAGGGCCGGGCTCAGCATCATCTGGGATCAGGGGTCAGGTACTGGAAACAATGGGAGGAGAAAGCCCCCAAGTCAGCAGAGCCCTGCCTCAGCCATAGCTGGGCCGCTGGTAACAGAGGTGAGGGCTGCTCTGCCTTTGCTCTGTGGCGGGTGGTAACCGGGGCGGGGGCGGGACAGGGAGCCCTCCCTGGGCTGCGGTGCCAGAGTGGGACCCACCGGGGCTGCTGGGCTGACGCCTGGGCTTGGGTTTCGGGGGTGGGGCCTCCGGCGGGCGGGTTGGCTGGCAGCCCAGGTTCTGGAACGCGCTCTCTGCCTGGTGGGCCCACAGCTTGGCATCAGGTTCCTCCAGGACTGCAGGGAACAAAAGGCAAGTGGCTCCAGGGCTAATTAGCTGGTGAAAGCCCTGGGGTGGGGGCTGGGGGCCCAGGCGCGCTCTAGGGAGCGTGCTTGAACACTCTTGGGGTGGGGGTCCTGCAGGCCAAATGGTGTAGCTAGGCTCAGAGTCGGGGGAGGACATGCGACTCGGCCCATGGGTTGGGCAGTGGTGACCTGGGTCCAGGAGAGGGCCCTGGGCGCTCGTCTTACTGTACTGGCTCCTGACCTGCGGGGTCACATGCAGGGAACAAAAGGCAAGTGGCTCCAGGGCTAATTAGCTGGTGAAAGCCCTGGGGTGGGGGCCGGGGGCCCAGGCGCGCTCTAGGGAGCGTGCTTGAACACTCTTGGGGTGGGGGTCCCGCAGGCCAAATGGTGCAGCTAGGATCAGAGTCGGGGGAGGACATGCGACTCGGCCCATGGGTTGGGCAGTGGTGACCTGGGTCCATGAGAGGGCCCTGGGCGCTCGTCTTACTGTACTGGCTCCTGACCTGCGGGGTCACAGGGGTGTGTGCAGAGACACCCTCCCGCCCCGCGCCAGTGGCCAGCCGCACTTGGGCTGAGGCCTGGCCGTGACTTCGTGTCTTGTGGGAAAGAGGCTCTGTGCGTGCCGTGTGCTGCCCTGTGTTTAATGTTCCCGTGGGGGCGGGCTGAAACGAGGGCCAGGCTGTGGAAGGCTGCAGGGCTCCTGGGACACCAGCCAAATTCTTGGGGGAACGTGTGTCTGGATTTAGTGGAGTCTTAGGTTCGAGAGAGTCAAAAGGTCTTAAATATTTGGTGGGAAAAATAAGAGTGATATTTCATTCAAAATCGTCCAACTCAGGGCAACTCAGATTTACATGATTAAGAACGCTGTTTATTTAACAAAAGTATTTACAACTGGAATCTTCTAATAAGTCTTTCTCAAAGGCTGTGAAACCTAAGAAGGTGTTTAACTTACAGCTTTTAAGGTGTTCATCTCATTTAGAGAGAAAGGCCTCCCTTCTTCTGGTTGGGGTCCCTGGGAGAAGCTCTCAAAGTGGATAAAGGGACGATGTGTTTGCTAATCAGGTTTTAACACAAAACCCAACTCTCTCCTGGGCACAGCCCGCTTGCACCTGTTCCCAATTCAGTATTTCCTCTCTCAGCAGCTCCCTCAAGATTCAAGATGTAGGACCAACTCTAGAGGCCTCCGTAGGGCTTCATGGACGAAATAGATGTTGAAAATATTCTCCTCCAAAGTTCTTCAAAACTGCTCCCAAATTGGTTGAAGGTGATGATTGTTTTTCTAAAAGGATGAAAGAATCATTGCTTGTTCGTGCATCTGAGAAGGTTTGCTGGTGGCAGAACCTGGCTGTTCAGGGTGGTCATTGAGCAGCCCCTGGCCTGGGAGGGTCTTCGGCCTCCCCTGCCAGACCCTGCCCCCAGGCAGCTGGTTCTGCCTTTTGACTGGCCCCCCGGGGGCGTGTCAGGACAGAACCTGGGAACAAGCAGGCACCCCTGAGTGGAGAGTCTGAGTCTCTTTGTTCTGTCGTGAGTGTTCTCCACACACCCCCAACTCCGTCTCCTCGGCTGCTAATCCACACCGAGGTCCCGGACCACCCTTGGGACACCTCGAGTTTTCTCTGTGAAGCATGTGAGGTGATTTGACAGCTGGAGACCTTCCTGTTAACAGCCATTATAATAAAACATTCCCTCAAACCAAATTCGACAATTATTAACATGTTTAAACAGAAAACGATGTTTACTAAGGCATTCTTCCTGAGCTTAACATATCCTGTGAGGAGGGCAGGGTGGGGGAGCGGGGTAAGTGGAAACCGCGGCTCTAACTGTGGTTCAGGGTAAAGTCGGAGCCACTGATTTTGGAGAGCGGTGCAGAGACCCTTTGACACGTGCCGTGGGTAGTGACAGCTGTCTCCCTGGAGGGACTCAGATCCCAAACTCCCCCACACTTTGCCCCTGCCCTGCGGCTCTGGCAGGACAGCTCTGCTCAGGAGACGAGACCCGGGGACGGGCAAGAGGGGCAGGGCCCAGGGGCAGGCCCCGATCTGCTGCCCCCAGGGCACCCCGGTGCCCACAGAGCCAGGGCGGTGCTTGCTCACTGCCTCATAATAGTGGTTTAACTTGTGTGGGGCTCAGACGTCTGAATTATTAAGGCTGTGAGCCTTCCTGGTGAGGTTGGGGGTGCTGTGCCTGGTGAGGTGAGCCCTGCTTTCCTCGTCCTGAGGTGCACATGCCGAGGTCCAGGCCTCCCAGCCTCCACGGAGTCTCTCAGCAGCTGGAAGGGTGGGGGGTGGGCCCGGGCTGCTGTGCTAGGCGAGGAAGTGACAGACCGCGTCTCGCCTCCAGGGCTCACAGGCCAACGACCTCCACGCGTTTACACACCAGTGCCACTATTTACTTCTTTAACAAAAGAAAAAAGTGTGTGTAGATGCAGCATGAGGGGCAGAAGAAGGGGGCACCCCCTCTTCCTGAGACCGCGGGCCGCAGCCCTGTCTGAGGATAGTCTCTGGGCGACAAGTGTTCACCCTGTGCCGGGTCCCGGTCTAAGGGCTGTACATGGGCCTGTTCACTTAATCTCCACACCAGCAGGTGTATCACACCGCTTTGCAGTGAGGAAGCTGAGGCCTGCGAGGTGGCGACTTGTGTGGCTGGCATGCAGTGGGGGTGGGGGCAGGGGTGACAGGCAGGTGGTGCAGCTCAGAGTGGGGTGCTCACCGGGGAAGGGGCGCGCCCCAGGAGGAAGGGATGGTCCGTGTGCAGCCCGGGGTGAGGGCGCTGGACACACCTGCCTCCAGGGCGGCCTCTTCACGGGGCTTTTGCAGGACGGCCCAGGGCAGGCTCCTGATGTCAGGCCCGGGGGAGCGCACTGCTCCTCTGGGTGATGGCTATGGAAGGATTTTGAGCACAGAGGTGAAACAGACATAACGTGACATCTCACACTTCACAGCGCAGCACTCAGCATGGAGCGCCTCCCATCGCCGCCCCCACCTCCAGAACTTCTATCCCTTCCCAAACTGGCACTCTGACCCCATGAGACAGGAGTTCCCCACGTGCCTCTCCCCAGACAGTTCTATGCACCTGCCTGCTCTAGAGGCCTCGTGTAAAGTGGAATCATACCGTGTGTGTCATTTTGTGTCTGGCTCAGTCCACATGCCGTGATGTCTCCATGTTCGTGCGTGTCATAGCCGCTGGCAGAATCACCTTTCTTTCTAAGACTGAGTGATGTTCCGCCTTTGTCTCTCTGTGGACGCGTGGTTGCTTCCACCACCTTGCTGCTGCGAGTTGAGGGACTTTAGGTTGGCAAGTGATGTGTCAGGTCTACATTTGCCAGGCACAGAGGTGCCAAGTAGACAGAGCCGAGGCCACATCTGTCTCACATTCCCTGCTCTGAGCGACTCTGCAGGAATGTCTGTCAAAGGTAGAGAGTAATCTTACATCTTAGAATTGAAGTAAGGGATTAAATGAGAAAGGAATGAGATAAAATGATGTATGAGGAAACACATACAAGCCGTAATGCATGGCATGAATACTGGCTCTCAGCCTCATTGTTGTCTCTGTGTTTCTCGGCACACTGCTTCTGAACTCAGAATCCAGTCATTACGACAGCTTCATTATGACATAGTTCCCTCCTCACGACATAGTTCCCTCCTCACAGCTCTGCAAACCCAAATTTCCTGCAGCCATCTCCGTGCTCAGGTGAGCGTATGTGAGATGTCTGAAGCTCACTTTGCACAGACAAAGCTCTTTTTCCAGTGTAAAGGCACCCATGTATTTCAGGTGACTCTGTGTCCTAGCTTACCTTAGGATTGTGCTTGAGTGGAGAAAGATTGGAATCTCTGACCACATTAAAATACTTCATCATGAAAAACTTAAGACACAGAGCCGGGGAGTGAAGAGGAGTGTGCTCCCTTGTGAGTCTGTCAACTGACTCCACAGCGACTATGCTCTGCCACTTTGCCCGCGCTGTCCTTTTATACAGCTAAAGAAATACTTGGAACGATATTCCGTTTTACTCCTGCCTGCTCCAGTCTGCATCTCTAAGAACTATGGACATTTCTTAGGTGACATGAGGCCAGTGTTAGAATTAGTAATACTGATTTACTTGTACAACTAAATTACGCTGATTGGCTTAAAATTGTTCCCCGATGCTTGGTTGTTCCCATGGGCCTGTGGGTCTTGGCTCAGCAGGCTGTGACAAAACAGGAGAGCTGGGCTGGCATGAACGGCAGACAGCCTCTTCTCACAGCTCTGGAGGCTGGGAGGTCCACGGTCAAGGTGCTGACCGATTAGGGATCTAGTGAGACCGTTCCCCTGGCTGGCAGACGGCCACCTTCTTGCCGTGGCCTCACGTGACAGAGAGAGGGCTCTGGTCCCCAGCTCGTCTTATAAGGGCACCAGTGCCATCACGGAGCCCTGCCTTCATCATCTCATCCAAACCCAGCTGCCTACCGAAGATCTGCCTCCAAATGCCGTGACGCTGGGGATTGGGGTTCAGCTCGTGAAGGTGGCGGGGACACACACATCCAGCCCGGAGCACCCACACCCTCTCACACACTGCACTTGTTCATAACATCCCTTGGGTCTTTGCACACAGAGTAGACCATGCCCCTTACGAAATCCTGCAGAACCTGGGCCAGCTGCCCCAGTGTCCCCTGTTCTGACCTTGTCCTCTGGCTCCATGTTCAGCCCTTGAACTCACCCTCTCACTGCTGTGTTCCCTGCAGGTGGAGGTTGGCTCTGGAGGGTCAGTTTTGTTCAGGCTCACCGTGTGCGGCAGGAATGCATCCCAGGTGCTCTGCTCACCTGTGCCTAGAGCCCCGACACCTGCTCGTCCCAGCTCACTGCTGCTGAGGGTCATGGTGGGCTCTGAGTTGTCTTTCAAATACACCATCAAAATTATGGTTCTTCTTATTCAGAATTGAGACAATTAACTGTAAAAGGTTTACAACATATAGATAAGCAAAAGAAATAAAATCATCTTAACATCCTAGCCCTTGATAGCTGCCATTGAAGTTTTGATGTGGAATCTTCTAGTCTGAGTTGTCTTTCAAATACGCCATCAAAATTATGGTTCTTCTTATTCAGAATTGAGACAATTAACTGTAAAAGGTTTACAACATATAGATAAGCAAAAGAAATAAAATCATCTTAACATCCTAGCCCTTGATAGCTGCCATTGAAGTTTTGATGTGGAATCTTCTAGTATTTATTCACCTTGTGTATAATTACATTGTAACCACATCTTCCCACTTACTGTGAATAGCTTTTGATGTCATGAAATATTCTTTTACTGTGTCATTCGCTGTCTAGTTCTTGAATACTAGAATCACTATTTAATTAACACACCACTTTTGTACAAGTTGTGAACATCGCAAATCCCCTGTCCAGAATGCTCATTTGGATTTGGCCCCAAAGCTCTTGGAGAGGACGGACCACTGCCTGTCTGCTTCCTGAAATGACTGCTGTCTCTTCTGGGGCAAGGTGAGGTGGGGGGATGTGGAGGGTTGGGGTGATGAGGGGACATGGAGGGTTGGGGTGATGGGGGATGTGGAGGCTTGGGATGATGGGGGGACTTGGAGGGTTGGGGTGATGGGGGACGTGGAAGCTTTGTATGATGGGGGATGTGGAGGGTTGGAATGATGGGGGCACATGGAGAGTTGGGGTGATAGGGCAGGGTGGGGGGTGCCATGGGGGGAGGGCTGTAGACTGGGTGCCCTCTGAAAGCTTTCTGAGGTGCTGAGAACAATCTTGTGTCTTGCCTGACATGCTGCTGGTCCTGGTGTTGGGACCTGCCCCACAGTGACGCCGATTACCTGTACTCAGCCCTGTACTCACTCCCGCAGTGTCTCCCGGGAGCTTCTTGGAGCTGCAGGCTCTCCCGGATGGGCTCAACCAGAACTTGCACTTTAACCAGATGCCCCAGGGATGAAGTGGAAGAGTCACTTCCTAAAGCACTTTTACCCAGTTATCGCCTAGAAATGCTGGTCTATTTGTGAAAAGAGATTCACGTGGGAGGAGCGTGCTAAGTTCAGCCGAGGGTGGAGAAGTGCTTGGTAGGCAGCCCCCGGGCTGTCTGCTCCTGGATGCAGAGGGCCAGTCCGGTCGGGGCTGGCTTCTGCAGTTCAGGAGAAGCTCAGCAACTGAGTGGCTTTGGTGAGTTAAAAGCGGTCTTGGTTTCCTCCTCGGTGTGATAGAGACTATATTATTTCACAGGTATGGTGCAAGGTGTAAGTGAGGCAGGAGCACAGTGCCTGGCATGATATAAGTGCTCAGTCAGCTGGGCTGGCGATCACAAATGCATGATAAGGTGGTGTTGAGAGCGAAGGTTAACTGGTGAACATTGCTTTGGGGAATCCCAGGATGTCGAACTCTTTTCCTCCTACCTTTTCAGCCGCCGATCAGTTTTAACAGCTGGTTCCATGCAGAGAACGTGACAAAAACCGTTTTGGATTAAACACATCCATGTTAAGCTCAGAGCAGCCACACACTATGTATCATATGTTGTCTTATCTTTAACCAAATGAGGGGAAAAAAAGGAACAGCCCACTTCCCCTCACTCTTTTTAAAAAGGTCTTTCTCTTCAGTATAGGCTGAGGCTTGAATGTGTTTTGATTCTGGAGAGATTGTGTTTACCAAGTATTGATACCTTCATCTTCAAGAAGATCTGGCTAGTTCAGTTCTGTTTCGTTCCCAAGGGAGTGCCCATGGGGTATACCCTTGACTGTTTTCTGAAGTCAGTGAGATGGAACCACTACCAGATGCAATGTGAACTTTTCCAGCCCCTAACATAAATACTTGTGAACGAAGCTCAGTGGCATGAGGACCACAGTTAGGGTTAATACACAATGGCGAGTTTCTTACCAATGGACCTCCTGACAGTCAGATGTTGGATTCTTGAGTCAGGTGCCCACTCACGTGGGCAGTGCTCTCTGGGGGGCGCTATTTGGCTCTGGTGAAAGGAATCTGTGAACACGCTTACCTGCATGAATATGCAGTCATGTGTCACTGTGTCCTGGTTATTTTGCATCTCTTTAGTTTTCTGCGCTTCCCAGCTCATACTTCAAACTCATCATCTTACAGCAACGTTCCAACTCCTTCCTGTGCCATGACTCTTCCCTCCCCTGAAGGGAAGACAGCCCCGTGCTGCTGACTTAAACCCCTGGCTTGCTGACTGTCAGGGATGCACAGGTGTCCTGATCACAGACCACAGACAGCTTCTTGTTTCCTATGGAGGCATCTGTTGCTCCTCCACCCACTTATCCTTTGAGTGACTATATTTTCAAAATCAGTTTGTGATCTTAATTGTCCCAGCTTGTAGATTCTTAGGAATAGCTTTCTCAGACCTCATGAAACAACTGAGGGAGCTGCGGGGCAGCCTTTTCCTGAAGCTGAGTCAGTGCAGCGAGGGGAGGGCTTCTGCCTGCCTGCGAGGAGGCCCCGTCATTGTCTGACTGGTCACTTGGTCTGAGGACCTGGAAGGGGGAATTTTTTTTGTAAACATCAGTTCGGTTCAGTTCAGTTCAGTCACTCAGTCATGTCCGACTCTTTGTGACCTCATGGACTGCAGCACGCCAGACCTCCATGTCCATCACCACTCCTGGAGCTTGCTCAAACTCATGTCCACTGAGTTGGTGATGCCATCCAACCATCTCATCCTCTGTCATCCCCTTCTCCTCCTGCCTTCAGTCTTTCCCAGTATCAAGGGCTTTTCCAATGAGTCAGTTATTCACATTAGGTGGCCAAATAATTGGAGTTTCAGCTTCAGCATCAGTCCTTCCAATGGTTATTCAGAACGGATATCCTTTAGGGCTGATTGGTTGGATCTCCTTGCAGTTCAAGGGACTCTCAANGAAAAGACCCTGATGCTGGGAAAGATTGAGGGCAGGAGGAGAAGGGGATGACAGAGGATGAGATGGTTGGATGGCATCACCGACTCAATGGACATGGGTTTGGGTGAACTCCAGGAGTTGGTGTTGGACAGGGAGGCCTGGAGTGCTGCGGTTTTTGGGGTCACAAAGAGTCAGACTTGACTGAGTGACTGAACTGAACTGAAGTCACCATCTGCAGTGATTTTGGAGCCCCCCAAAATAAAGTCTCTCACTCTTTCCATTGTTTCCCCATCTATTTGCCATGAGGTGATGGGACTAGATGCCATGGTCTTAGTTTTGTAAATATTGCTCAGCTGCAAAAATTTTTGTTTGGGGCATTTATAATGAAAGCCATGAGCTGGGGAATGTCACCATTCTACTGTTAGACAAACAGGATGACTCCAGCTACATCGACGTTCCATTGCTTGTTAGTAATAATGCCGTGCAAATGTGGTTCATCCAAAGGCTGTTTGTACCTGGGGCTCCTTTTTAAAGATTGAGGTAAAACATGAAATTGTACATAGCATGAAATTTACCATTTTAATCATTCTGAAGTGTATAGTCAGTGGCGTTGAGCACATGCACATTGTCGTGCACCCATCCCCACCCTAGTCTCCAGAACTCTTTTATCTTTCTCACGAGAACCTGTCTCCACTGAACACTGCCTCCCTGTCCACTCCACCCTCCTGCCCGTGGTGACCACTGTCCTACTCTCTGTCTCTATG